GTTCAAGGGTAAATTCTAAAGACCGATGCAATGGCCTCTAAACTCTTAACGGCAATGATTCGAAGCTGCTGGAATCTTACCACCAAAGGTGCGCGGTGCGAACAACAATGGGCTGAGCGCATGTATGCGGCTATCTCTTACACACGCGACCCCGAATACCGACCAGACCCAAAATCACCTCCAGTTGTTCTGCAAACATAAAAAAAAACACGAAGGAGGGCCAAGGGAGAACTCAGAATGTTGAATTAGAGCCATCGGCCATGTATTAAATCCCCCAAAAAAACTACTACATGCCTCTATGCAGTCCCCATAATTTTATTTGCAAAAGACCTTGTAGACGTCCCTCCATACCTCTAGACGTCCCAATATCTACCCTACTATAGTACAAATTATAATCGTTTCCTTTTTGTTTCCGTTGTCCCTATATAACCCCTGTATAGTTTTGGTTTCCATTTTGTTTTCCATTATCCCTCAAAAACCCAATAGATTCCACATAGAAGTCTTATAATCCCCATAGTTTCAAGTTTCTTCAGAACCCCAACAACTACTTCCTTTCCAAGACGGCTTTCTGTTGCGATGCCGCGGCCTCCTCGAAGTCTCTGGCCCCCAACAAATCCCAACAACGACACAAGGATCCGCGTGTGTGTATATATATATATATGTATATATGTTGGGGCTATATAGGCGTTGTAATGGAAAAGAAAATGGAAGCTATATAGGGACTATAGGGGTATATAGGGGTTATATAGGGTGTATGGAAAAGAACATGGAAGCTACTAGATTATGGGGTTACATGGGGATATAGGGATAATGGAAAGGACAATGGAGACGCGGTATATATGGGGGTTGTATTGGGGTTATATAGGGGTCATACCCTAGATCTCCCTCTATAACCGCTATTTCACCCCTATATAAACCCTTTATCATCCCTTTTGGTTTCCATTTTCTTTTCCATCATAACCCCTGATCCCTGGAGTTGATCCAGTCCTGGTCTGTGTCAGTGCACTTCTCCTCAACGAGCTTCAGGAAATCACCACTGGTGCCAATAGCCTGCTTCAGGATTTAGGGTTTAGGGTTTAGGACGTCTGCCGCAGATTCAAGGTTGAGAGAACAGCTCTCAAAGGCCAGTTTAGGGTTTAGGGGTTTTAGGGGTTTAGGCTGTAGGAGATCTGCTGTGAGTATCAATTCGCTACATTACGTTTCCTCTTCCTGCCCGCTTCAAATGCCAATCGTCCAATCAGACTGAGAAGCAGAATACTCCTCACAGCAACAAAGGGATGATGACTGTGATGTAAACAGTGGAAAACAAATAACAGGATCCTCGATGCAAGGGCAATACAAATGAGGGCGAAGGCCTTGGATGGGACAGCCTGCTTTGACTTCTGAATGCTGATGTAGGATAGAAAATGCTGGCACATATCCTATGTAGGCATTCTTGCGACTATCAAGGCTCCAAGAAAACCGAAAGCACCTGGGCTGCAGGATGTTCAGCTACACTCATCTGACCAAATGGCTGCTCACGTGAGGTGCTGCAAGACGCGAAACCAGAAGAGCTCAGTGTTTCCTGCTTCCTGATGACTACAGGCTGTGGCCCGCTCACCCTACTGCATCTGGCTGCCATGCAGGCCTTTTCGATGGACTTGATCTCGAAGCCTTGCATCAAGCTTTGCAGAATCTACTGCCCAGCATGCCGCAACACATTCCGGCATTTTTCCGCCACACTGCAGCCTTCAGCCCGCCAATTCGAGAAATGCACTTCCCCATGTCCCAGCGGCTCTGACTGTCGTTCTGAACCCCTGCAACAACCTTCGGGCGTCGGCTAGATTGTCCAAGACTCCCAGCAAAGATAAGCCTGCGGGGCTGGTCTGCACTTGTCATTTAAACTATTTGAGTGGTGCGAGGCACCACTCACCTGAAGCAGCCCCAACCTTTAGGGAGGTCATGCTGCAAACCCTAACAGTGCATCCATGGGGCCCATCTCCATCACGCTCTGCCGCTTTTCCACGCGCTGCCTGGGCAACACTGAATGAATGTCCAGCTTAAGCTGGATGGCTCGTATATTACCGAAGTGATGGAGAATCAACTGGCAAAACAATACAAGATGAATTACAAACTGGGCTCTGCTCGAATGTTGTTGAGGCACTACTGACTCAACATGTGTCAACTCATATTGTGTTCAAGTATACTGCGAGAGCTCAAGAAGTTATTCAAAATCAATCCCAGTCTATTCCAAAGTCCGAAATCTAAACCAACAAGCGGTAGCTTCCCAAAATAGGGCCCAATATAGACCCGAAAATACTATAATCCTTAGTCTGGGGACCCCCAACATGGTACCCCGAAATTTCGGGAAAGCCCTCTGTAGTCTAGCGGCTGACGCTTGGACTCCTTGGTCGCCTCCGAGGCCTCGAGTGAGGCAAAAGACCAAGAGTAGATACTATTGGGATTATAGGGGCTATATGGGGGTTTTCCAAAATTAGGGGTACCATTTTGGGGGTCTAAATAATAAGGACTATAGTACTTTAGGGTCTATATTGGGGTCCCTCTATTTTGGGAAATTACCATATTGGGGGGCTAATGGAAAAGAAAATGGAAAATAGTATATGGGTTATGTAGGGGCTATATAGGGTATATATTGGGGGATATATTGAGATAATGGAAAAGAAAATGGAAACTACTATACTATAATAGGGGTATATGGGGAGTATTATAATCATGGAGAACAGAAAATGGAAAATTAAATGGAAACCCTAGGTCCCTTTAAAGGGTAAAGAGGGATTTATGGGGATATTATTATCCCCCTATAATGGAGAATCAAACGGAAAAGAACGTGGAAAATGAAACCGAAACCCTAGGCCCCCTTCAAGGGGTATATGAGCTGGCGTTCAAATTACTTGTTTGCGGCAACAATTCATGTAGTGTGCCCCGGATCGTTGTGCAGGCTTCAGGAGGGGTATCGACTGGGTATCGAGTTTTTGGGGTGCCCCGTCCTAGGAGTTTAGACCATGGCTCATCTTATCTCTCTCTAGTCCATGAACTCCCCCTGTGGCTGCAAGAACTGCAAATCTTCAAACCCAAGCAGACGGTAGCGTACAGGGAGTCTACAGCAAACCGGTAGATACTACCCTAAAACTAAACCCTAAACCCTAATTGGATAGAGCATCTGGTGTAGATAGACATGAACGTCATTCTCCCACTCACGCCCTAAGCTTCCAAGCCCCTTCCCCAACTGGTCCTTCGCAAGGAAGAAAGGAACATATTCCCTACATAGACCTACATTCCCTACTAACCCCCCAAGAGTGGTCAGGCCTTGATCTCCTCCTTTTTGGAGGCCATGAGCTCCTCATAGGTCTTGGCCTCCTTCGCCATCTCCTCCTGGGAAATCTACCTACTGGGTTTTCCAAACAGACATGCGCGGTTAGGAGGAGCTAGGTGTCTAGGTCTTTACATGTCCCGGCTAAGCCTTCCAAATGAGCCATTGTCTAAACTCCTAGCAATACCCCCTATAGTAGTCCCCTATATAATACCCTATATAACCCCCTTAAGGAGTTTAGACTATAGTCCAAATGTCGGTTGTCCCCCCCAACTGGAAGTGACGTTGACGCTGATGCTCCTGCAGAGCCTTCAGGTCCACCTTGAAGTCGTCCGTCATGGCTTCGAGCATGCCTCGCAAGGGATGTGCTGTCCCAATATAAGTAAATATGGTAGTTTCCCTAAATAAGGGGACCCCAATAGACCCCAATATACTATAGTCCTTATTATAGGGAACCCCCAAAGGGTAGCCCTAATGTTGGGAAACTACCATATAAGTAACTTTTAGCCAGGCCATATCCTGGGATTTCAGTTTGCCCATAAACTTGCATAATCTTGCATAACTAATGTACCAAATTGACGAATCACTGGGTACACGACTGAGCGTGAGGAGTCCTTGGAAAGTACTGGTCGAAAACAAAGTCCCTGCTGCCCAATTTACACCAGCTTCTACAGGAAAGATCCTCAATGCCCGCTTTTTGTGGCTATTGCGCACACAGACCTGACAAGTAACTCTGGAGTCATATTTCTCCGCCTGACAACTCGCCGCCGATGGGTGCCTGCATCAAGCTGAGGCCTTCGTCGCAGCCGGCTTCAACTCTTCACGATAGCAAACATGGAAATCTGGGCGGGTACAATGGAGAAGAGGACGTAGAACAGGATTATCACTAGAATTGGGACTGCGGAATCTAACGTCATGTTGGTGGCAGTGCCAGTAGCAGCAATACTAGCAGTAACTTCAATGGTGGTGCTGGTGACCGCTGATGGTTCTAGGAGTAGTCGCCGCAACAGGTATAGTAGCAGAAGGTAAAGATAGTTGTCATGACAGCGGACGATGGGTTCTGTAGTATAGTAGCTAAAGTAGTACGTGGTAGCGGCAGCAGCAGCAGCAGCAGCAGCAGCAGTGGTGTTGCGGTGGCACTGGCACCGGCAGCAAAGGGAGGCTGGCCAGAATTGCAACTCCAAAGGAACAGCCGCCATACCGGTAATTTAACGAATTACCTATAGTGTTCAAAGTGTCTCAGACTAGCACCCAGAACTCCCCTTGAGTGACTTGAAACCGTCCACGAAGGAACGTTTAGGATCAGTCTGCCCCTTCGTCCCTGTGCACAATCTTCATCAACTACTCCCACCCCTGCAGGAAGCAAATTCTTATTGCTTCAAACAATTACACGTACACTGGGCCCACATAGGCGAATTATGTTCATTTGCTTCCGGACTCTGAACAGCCCGCGGCCTTTCACAAAGCCGGAAGGATCCTTGAAGAAGGCCTGGCTACACGGTGTGCTTGACTTGGCTAGGCTTGACATCTGGAGTGCTTCCAAAGCTGAATGTGCGCGTACGGGGGATTTGGGACGAAATTTGGAGGAAACACCTTGCAATTTACGCTTCAGTCTCGGGCCACGAAGCCGAACCATGTAAAAACCGCATATATATATATACATATATGTTGCTTTCTGATTAGCGGGGGCCTATTTATCAAGAGCGTGGCTTAGCGACAATGCCACAAGCCACACCTCGAGGTGCTCGTGGTCCCGAACGGAGAGCGTGTTGTCGAGGCGTTGGGCACGCCTGAGGCACAACCAGCTTGCTGATGCATTCGCCCATGGTACCCCATGTTTTTTTTGAAAACTCGGCTCCCTGATCCTCATGCCCTTTGCTGCAATGCAGGGGCCTGGACGATCAAATGAAACTTAGGCTCCTAGACCCTAGCCCTAAATAGTAGGTCCCATGTTCTTTTCCATTAACCCTATACAACCCAACATATACCCCTATAATCCCTGATTTAATCCCTATAATCCCCATAGCTATATTTAGGGGTTCCTTTGCAACCCTAGCGCCTGGTCACGGCATCCTGGAGCTTGGCGCTCACCTCCTGGAGTTCAGTAAAGGGGTTATAGTCCTTATATAACCATGTATCTAACCCTTATATTAGGGTAATATAAGTACTATAGCTCATATAATCCTGGGTGATGTCGTACTCGCATACAAACTCGTCTCTTCCCACCGCTACACTTGCCGTTGCTGCTATCAAGAGCTGTCATCACTATTTCACTCTGAAACCCCCAAAACCCTAAACCCAAAACCCCAAACCTCCAAAACCCAAAACCCTGAAGTTCTCCTAAACCCACACCCTCCCTAGCCCTCAATCTCTGAAATCCTGCAATCCTGCACACTATAATAGTTTCCATCTTCTTGTCCATTAACCCCAATATAACCCCCAATACAGACCATAATAACCCGAGTTTCCATTTCATTGTCCATGCTCTTTTCCATTTGATTCTCCATTAGTTTCCACATTTTCGATTTTTTCACCCACTTAAGCAGATAGAATATGGCTTTGTATCTTACAATAAGATCCCATATTCTATCTACTCAAGGGGGACTATACACCCTAAACCCTATATAACCCATTATAGTAGTTTCCCTTTTCTTTTCCATTATCCCTCTATAAACCCATATATATCCTATAATCCCTACATAACCCATTATAGTGGTTTCCATTTTCTTTTCCATTATCCCTATACAACCCCAATACACTATAGTAGTTTCCATTCTATTTTCCATTATTCCTATATAACCCAATATAAACCCTATCATACTATAGTAGTTTCCATTTTCTTTTCCATTATCCCAATATAACCCCAATATTTACCCTATATAACCCCTATATAACCCTTGTAGTAGTTTCCATTTTCTTTTCCATTATCCTTACATATACCCCAATATACCCTATATGACCCTTATTCCATGAAGCTCCTTGAGGCGTCCCTCGGGCATCTGTACCAAGGCTGCCTCGCCGCCGCTGATGGCGGTGGCGGCAGATTCCACGGCCTGTGGTCGGAGGGGTCTTCTTAGGGATCCAAAATGAAATGGAAACTGGGGTTATTATGGGTTGTATTGAGTTATATTGGGGTTAATGGAGCAGAAAATGGAAACTATCCTAAACCTGAAGGGCTTGGGAATACTGAGGGGTCGTAGGGATGCTTAGGGATGCTTAGGAATGCCAAGGGCCAAGGCATTCTTCGGGTTATATGGGGTCACATGGGTGATGTAATGGTCTGGTGAGGCTGTTCAGGCATCATGTAGGCTTTTGCTAATCTCGTTTAGAGATTATGTTCGGGATTGATGCAGCAGCAAAACTAGGTGAGAAGTGCATGCACAAGACATGCTACCTGTGACGGAGGTTTGCATGCTTGTGACATCCATGGCTTCAGGCGAGCTCAAATGCTTGGACTTCCTAAGCCTAAACGGCGTGGCCAGCATGTTTCTTCCTGTCGAGGCTTTACATGCGGGCGGGCGCATCCCTGTAGAGTAGGATCACCGTCAGACCGCTTGCTGACGAAAACTGTCCATGCAGCGTAGCAGAGCGATGTTGCTTGCCCGGAATGAAACCAGGTTTCTGCGTGATGTCCGCAATCATGGATGTCTGTGCAAACCAGCCCAGAAAGCTTGATGTGTTCCAGTCGGGTCTGTGACTAAATACCTCGCAACAAATCCTTCTCCGCAACAGATGTACATCCAAGCCCAAGCCTTGCCATCAGGCACCCCTTTTAGAATGCGTGTCCCACAGCCCAACATGCAAACTCTGAAATCTTTCTGTGCTCGTGGATGCCTCAATGTCCTTGTAGAGGGACTTTTCATTGTCGTTGAAGGTGTCAACCTGGATTCTTCAGGTATACCCCAAAACCAAAACCCTATATGGTACCTTCCCTTTTCTTTTCCATTATCCCTATATAACCCTATATAACCCCTATATATAAGCCCTATATAAGCCCTATATAGTCCCTATTAGAGGGGGGGGGGGGGTCCGTTGGGCTCACTTGGTTTGGAAGATGTAATAGCTGTGCCATGCCAAGAGCTCCCGAATCTGCCGACAGTGCGATATATTTGGGATGTATCGGGGTTATATTGGGATACTGGCAAATAAAATAGAACTACTACAGTAGATTGGGGTTATGCTGAGATAATGGAAAATACAATGGAAACTTCTATTTAGGGTGTATAGGGCTTAGGGTTTACTGTCCCGTCTTCCTTTCCTCCCAAGTAAGACACCCCTCCATTGAATGAAAGCATTGGTATATTTGGTTGACAGTGTCATGCATGTAGAAGTTTTGCCACCGGAACACCTTGGTGTAGAACTGGATCTGGGCACTCATCATGCAACGGGTTCACTGTAGGAGGCTTGAAGCTCTTCAGATAAATGTTACAATAACAGGTCATACTGAAAAGCATAATTACAGCGGCCGACATCATATGTCTGAAGGTGAAACGGACCGTGCTAAGTCTAAAACCCACGGCGATTAACCACAAGAGTTGTGCACGTGCGTATGACAGATGTTGCGCACCTTGTTACCGTGCAGGACCCGAGCGGAGTCCAGCGTGGCAGTGGCCTCCTTGACCTTCGCGGCGCTTTCTCTAAGGGGATCTCAAGGCACAGGTACAGGAACAGGTACAAGTTGCATAAAGGCATTGCAACCAAGAGGTATATAAAAATTTGCGGAACAACGAGAATGTCACCAAGCAGTGGGCGGGAATGAAGCACACAACATCTGCTGAAATTATGGTTTTTTGCGGTCACTACGACGGAGTTGAAATTGAAATTTCGCGAAAACTTTTATTGCCAGTAGCCCAGTGTAGATGCGACAAGACTCGTAAACGGCAAGTGCCATCGAACAAAGAACAAATCAGTTCAGGCAGGCAGCCTTGTCAGTCTAAATTGTGGTTGTTCCTGAACCCCATCTGAAGTGCCACATGAAGGACGCGACCACGTCAGGGTTGCTTTCTTCAACCGTGCCAAATATCAATACATCCAGAGAGTAACGCAAGTCATCCTAGCTGCCAAGGCTGATCGGCCACGAGTCCGCATGTATACACACCTGTGCCATCATCCCGCTCCCTGGACCCTGGACACTAGGCCCCAAGCTCGAATCCCGAGAGTCTTGGGTCTCTAAACCCCTGGCCCAAAGTCCTGAAGGAGAAAGCGAAACTTATGGCCTCCTTGGCCAATGTCTCCATCTCGGCCGCCAGGCTCCTAAAGCTGCGCGTGGAGGACCAAAGAAAGTGATCGGGCTACACAAACACCCCGGGTTATGATGTGGGGTAGGTCATATCACATGCTTTCCGCAATTGTCAACACATTATTGCTGTTAGGGGGGGACTATATGGGGAAACCCCTGACCGATGTATCCCCTACATCCCCGTTTACGGGACCATATATGTAATGTATAATGATAATGTATGACTCCCTTAATGATCCCCATCATCTCACGAACACGGGGAGCCACCCAACTCAGGCGAGGCGCACGGCCGAGGCGTTTGCCTCCGCCGCGAGGTTTGTGAGCTCCTGGATGCGTGCCTGCGCACAAGGAACAGGAACCCATAGTCCCCCTTTAGTAGTTAGAATATGGCTTTGGATATATATATATATACATATTATAATGAGATCCCCATATACCGATACCCCATATTCTATCGACTTAAGGGGGACGATAGGGAGGTAAACTAGTGTAGTCTGTAGTGGTAGATGCGATATTCAAGATTGGAGTTGGTAACGGACACAAGCACGTTTTGGAGTAATATCGCCAGAGTTGGGAGCCAGCAGGGTTGGCGTCGGAAACAGCCCTGCCAAGGAACAACATGCTTCTCGAACTGACCCTCCCCACCCTTCCCCGCCTTCACCCCACCTTTCCAGCCCTCCCCAGTCTTCCAACCCTGCACCTCTCTTCCTCCCCAATGCCTCAGAGGCATCCCAAAGCTGGGGGTTGCCTCCCATCTGGGGGCTTTAGCAGGGACTCCTAATAGGGACCCTTAAAACCATTACCATATATAACCCCTATGTAGTCATTATAGAACCCCTATATCCCTAGGTACTCCCCATATTAGCCCCCATAAGCTACAAGGGTCCCTATTAGGGGTCCCTCCTAAAGTCCTTAGATCCCAATAAGGACTCCTGCTCCAACAAGGACTTATGCACAACTATAGCCCCCAGGCTGAGCATAACAGGCCATTGCTTCTTCGCTTGCTCTGGGATCTCTGGGTTCGTGTTGCTGGCTCGTGTTCTCAACTCACTCCCGACTCGGGTTCTGCTCTATCCACGACTCGTGTCAGGGAGCTACCCAACTAGCTGCAAGCTGACTTGAAGCACTTGCAGCTGACTCAGCTAACACTCAAAAGAGTCTCCTTAGTTGTAGCTTGAAAAGTTCCCTACGTTTGCATCAACTGGAGTTTGGTGTTTGAGGCTCGGGCCAGGTGCTGGGACTTAGGATTTGGGGTTTGGGGGAAAACTTAACGCAGGATGTCTTACAAGGCTCCTGTATCTACCCAAACACGAGGGACCTGAAAAAATACGCACAAAACAGAGAAACCTGCAAAAGGAACAAAACACTTTGACTTACTGGTTCTTAGCAGGGAATAAGGGAATATAGAAATGGGGATGTTGGAGGGATTGTATTCCCTTATTCCCTATTAACCCCAAGTAAGTTAAACTGCCCCAAGAGAGACTCTCGCCCTGTACGATTCTTCTTGCCTGGCCATCGGAGACCTCAACGGACTTCAGGTCATTGTTCTCCTTGCATAGCAGCTGCAATAACTTGAGACTCCAGTCTCTTGCTATCCTGGCTTTAGCCTAAACCCTAAATAGCAGTTACCATGTTATTTTCCATTATCCCAAAATAACCCCAATATAACCCTAATACTACCCCAATGGGTCTGGAGCTGCAATTTTTCGGGAAGACCGATCAAAGATGATCAAAGCTTTCAGCCGGGGCCTTGGGAAGGCTAGCTCTATGCAGATCACATCATGGATGGAGTCTCTTGACAAGGAAAGCCAGGGCTTAAAGATTAGGATTAGGTCTCCTTATGCATATCCCCAGTAATGTGGGCCTTAGTATAAGGTGCCGCCCCAAAGGACCCACTACTCTGGCCAACCATAAACAACAAACACCTGGAGCCCAGTCCTTGCACCAGCCACGGAGCTCGGCGTACATGTCCTCGTCTGCCTTCTGCTCCTTTGGTCGGCTTTCCAGGTTCTGGGATGACGTGGTATGAGAGATTGTAAGATGAAGGGTTCCTGCCACGCTTTAGGCTCTACAAAAGTGTAAGCTAAACTTACGAATGGTCAGCCAATCCTTCTCCAAGGTCGTCTTCATTTCCTGGCGCGCGAGAATCAAGTAGTCAGCGGTTAGGGCTTGTGAAGAGAGCGCCCTGACAAAAGGGGGAATACGGGTGTAGTGGGGACTGAATGGAAGCCTGGTAGAAAGCTTTGCAATCATTAGAATTACATGAGGCCAAATGCGCATGATGGTAAGGATGGTAGGTAGTAACATTAAGGATGACCATGATGATGAAAGAAGCCCGTCACGCATAGATGATTCTGATGAGGATAGCGCTGGAATTCCTGGTGGCTGCAGGTCGGACTCATTTAAGCTGAATAGTGCCCGCGCGCCGATTTATAATCAGGCTTCTCGGGGCTCGAATTTCCCATTGCCTTACATCATTTGTTACATGCTCTGGCCCATCAGCGCTAAATCCTTGGCAGGTACTTATCAGAATATCAGATCATCGAATCTCACCCTTTGATTGAAACTGAGCATGAGGGCCTGGTATCTGAGCTAGGTTGAAAACGTATCTTGTTGAAGCAAACTAGCACGAAACTACCAACATCTTCACATGGCGGACCTGGACACGATACTTGCAAGCCCTACTGTCGGAACCTCCGCAATGAGGCTCTGAATCGTTGGGCTTGCTACAGATGTATGCTTCCTCAAGAAATCCGAAACCCCAAATGCCGTCTGGTTTCAAGGGTTTGCTCCTCCTACTTGATACTACTACTACTACTACTACTACTTCTTCTACTACTACTACTACGACTACTACTACGACGAATATTACGACTACAACGACGACGATTAGTACTACCTCCTCCACTACGTCTACTACTACTACTACTACTACGACGACGACGACGACGACGACGACGATGACGACTACGATGCCTACGACGACGACTACGATGCCTACGACGACGACGACGACGACGACTACTACTACTAGTACGACGACGACGACGACGACGACGACTACTACTACGATGACTACGACGACGACTACGACGACGACTACTACTACTTCTACTCTACTTCTACTTCTACTTCTACTACTACTACTACTACTGCTACTACTACGTGTTCCGTACCTATTTGACGCGACATTTTTCTGTACATTTCTCAACAGCGGCCAATGACAGGAGCCTCAGATCTACTGATATTTACAGTACTTCCTGGCTTTCATGCCCTTTCCGGTACGGAAACCTATCATAGAGACCTGGGCGCCGAAGCGGACAACAAACACCACAAATACACTCATCATGATCATACGCATGACGGCTACAACAATATTACCAGACACGATTTTCAGCATCCGACTAGGCCACAATATTTCCTGTCTTTCAAGCTTCGCAATGTTGACAACAATGTTGGTACTCATGATGAGTGCGAGCAGCTGAAAAATATGAAATTTTCCGTTCCATTCCCCGACACTTCTAGCTGCTTTTTTTCGAGGTTCATGAGGGGACCTATCTTCGTCAGCAACTTTGAAACCCGTGGGGGACCATCCCATGAAGCCTTTTATCCACTGCTATTTCCAGCTGTGCTTTTAGCGAGAATGTTTTTTGTCGCTGTACTGGTTGTCATGATGCATCACGGCAAAATTGCCACGCAAAATTTGAGGGTGTTTTTTGGCAACCCTTTCTGGTAGTAGGTTCTGCAAGCTACTTCGGTGCAATTTTGTATGGTAAGTATGGGGACTCTTCTGGCTAATACTTGCGGAGGGGTAGTACGCAGGACCTTTGGGACTATAATGCTCCAAGATAAGTATGGGGAGCGTTGTTGTTAAACAAACTCCGGGGCTAGAGTGGGACACTCTTGGGGCTGCATTTTTTCCGAGTAAGTACGGAAGCCCTTCTTGGGAACCCTTGTTCCTAAAACTTTTGGAGGGCAACTGAGCAGGACTTTTGGGCTTACAGTTGTTCTCTCGGCTAGCATGCGAACTACTCGCAACAGGTTTTCAGGAGCCTTTCCACACTGGTGGCTTCTGCCATGAGACTGTTGCCCAGTCGACAGGCCACCACTTCCCAGCTTCGCGTTCAGGCTTCTGATCAGCTTCGCAGCATAGCTACGGCACATCTTTTGCCTGCGGCCCGTATGCCCAAAGACGACATCGATGCTTCGCTTGAGGCATCCTAGACTCTTGACCTGTTAGTCAAAACCCTGAAAGCATGGATTTGCGGCGCCCAGCTCTAGACCACCATGATCTTCACGTTCACTGCGCAGGCCAGTGTTTTCTATTGTTGCGTACTCCGAAAACCTAGCGTCAAATAAAAGCGAAGCGCGTACTACTACTGCTACTGCTACTACTACTACTACGACTACTACTAGTACTACTATTGCTACTAGTAGCATTGCTGTTCTTATTTTTCTTATTGTATATCTCGTACAAAAACAACAACGAAGAGGTTTCTCGTCTTCAAGGCCCAAGAAGTACACAAATTCACGCATTTCCTAGCCATCCTAAATGTCTTTCGCACCACTGACGGCTATGTGCCGTGTACCTGATAGTTAGGGGTAGGTAGTTAGTGGAACTAGCTAGTAGCCAACAGTGTTAGTAGCTATTAGTTCCAGGCTCGTAGTCCAGTAGTTAGTAGATTTCGGTTCGTAGCTTGTCGTATGTTGTGAGTTCCAAATCAGTAGATAGCCGTTTTTGGTATTAATTAGTAACCAGTGGTGGGTAGTCAGAAGTGCGCAGTGGGCAGTTCGTAGCCAAAGTGGTAGGTAGGTAGTAATTCGAAGTAGCAGGGAGAAGGCAGCAGGCAGTGGGTAGGGTAATGGGGTCTTCTGCTGGTCCTGGTGCTGGTGGTGTTCGTCGTCGTCGGCGTCGTCGTCGTCGCCGTCGCCGCCGCGGTGGTAGTAGCAGCAGCAGCGGTGGCAGCAGCAGTAGCAGCAGCAGTAGCAGTAGAAGTAATAGTAAGGGGAGGCGATGCCTCATTTTGCCTGAGGTGAAGCGTGTGCCACTGCATTTTGCGAAGGTTTTCATGGGAAATAAAGCGTTTGTACGTACCTGCAAACGTTGTGGTCGGTTGTTTGCTGTTTTTGGCAAGGTTTGCTTCTGCCCGGCCAAGGGAATGCATTTCCCAGGAAACACATGCCCAAACGTGTACGCGCATAAGATCAGTTTATAACTACTCCGCTTGAAGCGCTGGCACCCAACTGGACATGTGATAAACTCATCCCAAAAAGTAATTTGAACAGAAAACCTAGAGCAAAAGAAGTCGCCGTGTGTCGTCGTCATAGTAGTCGTCGTCATCGTGGTGGTGGTGGTGGCGGCGGTGGCGGTGGCGGCGGCGGTGGTGGCGGTGGTGGCGGTGGCGGCGGTGGTGGCGGTGGTGGCGGCGTGGCGCTGGCGCAGGCGCAGGCGCTGGTGCTGGTGCTGGTGGAGGAGGTAGTGGTGGTGGTGCAGATCCATGGCAACAACAGCAATAGAAGCAGCAGCAATTGACAGTGTGAATGTTTCCTGGTGATTGTACGTTTTGCAATCCGGGAACCTCTGGATGTCGCAATGTCACCCGCAAGGATGTGTGTATGTTTATGACAAGTGTTAGAAAGCATTATTTAAATTCAAGAGGAATGCCAGATAAGGTTCATGGAAAGGTAGTACGTAGGTGGCATTTGTGGTGCGCGGTGCACGTGCAAAGTGCGCGCGCGCGGTGCGTGCGGTTCGCGCGCGCGCGGTGCGTGCAGCGCACGCGCGCGGTGCGTGCAGCGCGCGCGCCCGG